TCATCGTTTCCAGCACGCGGCGCATGCTCTGGCCGTCGTTTAAGAGCCTTGAAACGCTCAACACTTCTCTTGGATGGTTTGATTCAACCAGCTAGGTTGTTCCTCTGTTGGAAAAAGATAAGCACCGCTGTCGCTGTCTTTTACATCACTTACAGTGATATTTTTCACAAATGCGAAATCAAATGAGCGATATTTGCAGCGAGCAGTGCCAAAAGTGACCATTGTAATTTCAAATCAGGTGAAACTATGGCAAAAGTTCTGGGCTAGCCAATCGCCTGACAAGCCCGGCAACACCACAACAGCTCACTCCACATCAAAGAGAGATAACTTACAGGCATCAGCATCCGGAGCTGACCCTTGTTGAGCTGGCTGATCTCTTCTTTAGTGAGACCTTTTACGTTTCCGCCGAAAATTTTAGTTTTGACATCCTCAGGTAGTTTGCTGAACTTATTCTTGACTCTGAAAATGATAGCTGAGTTCAAATAGGCATACCGTGATAAAACAATTGTTTCCTAGCAGATGCAGTATACACTATACAGTATACACCCAATATTTGTCGGATACAGTAATTTTTGCGGTACGATGGCAGATTAGTGACAAATCCAGCTAAGTGAGGAAAAACGAGGCATTATATCAAATTTATGGAATATCAGTGCACCGGTGATCTGCCTGGCAGTGCATGACATTTGCTGACGCTGTTTTCCATGAAGAAGCAAGGACTTTTCGGCGTTTATCAAGCCAAAACTTACTTATCTGGCCATCCAGCTGCATTGGGTAGAGGGGAAACGGATTATTAGCGTCACTCCTACAGACACAGATTGCCAGACATACTAAATACATATGTACAGCTGTTTTATGTAATGCTTTTTTAACGTGGACACATTTATTGGGGCACGTTTTATGTAATGGTTTGTCCTTGTCCAACATTATAAAGAATGATGATTATGAATGAATGATGGCCATTGCCACAAACTTGTCGCCTGACAAACCTAAAACTAACCTAACGTCACACCCAGCAACCAATCATGATAATATACAAGCATCTCTCTCTCTCTCTCTCTCTCTCTCTCTCTCTCTCTCTCTCTCCTCTCTCTCTCTCTCTCTCTCTCTCTCTCTCTCTCTCTCTCTCTCTCTCTCTCTCTCTCTCTCTCTCTCTCTCTCTCTCTCTCTCTCTCTCTCTTTCTCTCTCTCTCTCTCTCTAATAAAATGAAATTTTAGGGTTTCGTTCCTAAATTATCAACGAAAAACCAGCAGCCTCACGCGGCCCAATGGTTCTAACAATCGACTTCACTAATGTTATCGACTACCGTATCCATGGACGCTTTCTGTTGTGGACAGTGGGCGGGAGTTAAACAGTGACGTCACTGGTGGGCTCAGTGACGTCACAGTGCTCCAAGCGACATGATCGACCCCGGCCGCGGCGGCGACGGGACATCTGTTGTGTCTGAAGACATCTGTTTGAGACAGCAGCGTGTGACCGAAGACTATCGGTCGTCACATGATATATAGTCAGAGAATTCATGTGACAAGGCGTGACTGTGACTAATATAAATCGCTACGCCGACATATAACAATTCGGACTCAGCTGGGAAGCATATTGGAGGGCTAATATCTGCTGGTCTATGAGCAATCGCAAAACTGAGCTACGCCAATGACATAGCAAAATCCTGTCTATCTGAAGAAGTATTTTGCGTGGCTGTTAGCCGCCGTCGTCATTGCAAAATAATGTCCGTTTACTCGACTTTTGGATAATATTGGGTCTTATTACAGATTATACAAATATCGTCGCCAACATCGATGGCAAGTAAACTCATTGGTGGCTGAGGCTCTCGCTGATGTGAGCCACCCAATACCCTATCATTACCTACGTAACGATTGAGTTAACTTTCCAGTTCGACACCGTTCTAACTGCAGGAGGAATCAATAACTTCTATGATATTTTCCAGTGTGATTATTACGCTAAAGCACCACCCACGAGGTTACATTTTTTTCGTCATCCTCCACACAACACCATCAATAGTCGACATGGCGAAACACCAACAATAGCCTCTGTCTTGCCGCCATTTTCGTGTGACAAGACCTTGTGTGCATGAACTGGTACCAGGAGCCCACGTCCCTCTTTGCACGCCCCCTCCCCTCCCCCACACCTGTCTCCTGACCTCCGGAAGTGGGGGGGGGTTCGGCGGAGGGGGGGGGGGGCTGGTACGGCCGGTCCTATTCATTAGGCGATTCGACGCGCCGGACCGGGGCTGGTCACGGATAGTGGCATGGTGACACATTGGGGTTGTCAGCGGCGTGACGGCTCTCTGTCCGTCTGGGTAGAGTGGGAGGGGAGGAGAGAGGGCTCATGAATGGCGCCTGCGGGTCTGTTGTTTGTGTTCAGGCTACACCGTCGAATAGCCACTTTTGATGTGGATATCAGAGGCAAAAAAAAACTTCAAAGCGATTGAAGAAACATCGTTCAAAGCCATGCAAATGCTCGGTTCGATAGGCTTCTATAGGTTTGGAATGACCTTTTGTACTACTGGCGCAGGCTTGCGAGTGCTCTTTCACTCTGCCTCCGACTGTATATAGGCTGAACGCTTCACCATAATCGGCAAAAAAAAAAACTACCAGATGTAATGCTAAGAAAAAGTTTATACACAAGTTTCAATTTTTCGTACAAGTTTGTACGAAAAATTGTTTGTTGCTATGGGATAGGAAAGGATGGCAATACATATTTTGAGGCTGATTAAATTAGATTAGAGAGCTATTGCTTGTAAACAGGCTTATAACCACCCGTTGCTGTGCTATGATTTTAATTATTCGCGATGTAAGATCATTTTTTATAATTCAAATCTGGGAAAACATTGTTATGATTCCGCTGAACTGAGCTGTAACATTTGTGTTATAGCTTTCGAGCGCCAGCCACGTCTTATGGCATAGTTTGCCGTTTGTGGAGGGAAGTATAAGCCATCTCAGTCTGAGCTCTTGACCGTGCTATATGTACCTAAACGACTGAGCTGTCCTCGGGGGCGTAGGCTAGAACACCGATCGACATGCGTTCGATCATCCTTGACTCAGCAATTTTGCAAGCCGGAGGGGATTTCGTGCAGCACGCGCCAATAAAAGAACTAGGCAAAACGTTCATTATCCCAGTTAGAAAAAAAGTGACCGTACTATGTACTAAAGACAGAGGAAGACCAGGACCAGCCATGGAAAGCTAGCACTAGGAGACTTTGGTGCACGGCTTGCACTAAGGGTTAGCAATGAGGGTTAGGGAACAGGGTAATTACATTGTCAGGAAATGTGTAGAATTGAAGCAATCACGAGAATGCCTACTAAAACATTTGCCACGCTGGGTCACTTTTTATGCGAAAAAAACATGCACGGCTAAAGTAGCCAACAGTGTGGGTTGAAGGTCAATAGAACACGGCCTTTCGAGCCATAAGATGTGGGCAGTAGAGCCTTGCAGTTATTGGCACTCAAGTCCAAGCTCATTTGTATTGACGGTGGACTTCAAAGCACCCATGGACGATGCCCTTCTGGCCGGTGCGTCATAGCCCATAGGCATTGGCATATTCAATGAATAGGTCGCCAGGTCTATGCCCATTCATTAGCTGAAAGGCCGTGTGCTACTAAAGAGCGTGCTATGAAATGAACTATGTCGGTCACTGGAGTCCTGCAAAAAGCACATAGGCACTCAACATGATTGAAAATATTTGCAGTGATAGTAATTGACGAATCTGTGCTAATTGTTCTAAGTAATTATGCAGCGTATAACGTTCAAACGAACATTAGTAGGGACTGGAACGTAGGTCGTAGACGTCAAAATGTTTGGCCCTCGTTTCAACCTGGCTCTGCAATATAGCCCCCCCCCCCCATCAAATCTTATTCCGAAGCAGCCAAATACCACTGTGCTGTCATCCCGAAAAAACTGTTGCGTGGCAGTTATGCAGGCCAAGCACATTCAAGCTTCTTATATCAATCGCGATTGCAATTCGTCTTGCATTTGACGAAGAAGTGCAAACGGCTTCTCCAAAAAGTTAGAGCAGCACGGCATATCACTTTTATCTAAGCCTTAGGGTATCTATATTTCTTTTTTTGTCTGTATTGCATCAAAACGATCAGGTAGGAACTCACCTACGGTGTTCTTGAATTTCTCCTTGTTTTCCTCAAACATATCTTTCAGCTTCTTCTGCGTGGCTTCCCAGGTCGAGCTCGCTTTCCCCCTGACGATGTTCAGCGTGTCCTGCACCGACCGCTTCCCCGTCCCCGCCTTCTCTTCTTCCTCTTCATCGTCCTCTTCAACGGATTCTTCGACATCATCTCCCACGGAGGCTCCGGCATCAGCTGCGGCTCCGACGCCGGTGGGAGGGTCGTCTTCGTCCTCGTCTTGGTCGTCCATGGGGCCATCTTCAGGAGCTGGGTCGACCTGAGGCGCCGCGGTGGTTTTCTCCACGGCGCCATCGGCTGCCATGCTGTCATCTGCAGCGTCAGTTTTGGCAGTCGTCTCCGTGCCAGCAGCGGCTGTCGTGGCAGCGGTGACTGTCGGAGACAGCGCAACTGAAAAAAATGACAGGAATAACTGGTTCATGAAAACACGATAAAACATTTGAAGCAAAAACAGAAAACAAATATAAATATAAAGGCCGCCCAACATTGGAACTCGCATGCGGGTTGCGAGTTTTTGGGATTTCGGGTTTCCTCAGAATCAAATGATACAATCTAAGGCTGAGTGACCCACACTACCATCTAACAAGCGAGTCCGCATGTTTTTAGCTTGCGAGCCACCTTGCATCGCATTCCAAAAGTTGATTTTGAGTCAACTTTCGATTTTCTTCGCTGCGAGGTGTGCGAGTTCTGCGAGGTTGGCGGGTTTTTCATTGGAGTCGAATTTTAGTTCGTTGCGCTGGTATTGCGGTACTATATGTAATTACTATTGGTACTATATGTAATTTTCTGAAGGTGTACGGGCTTCATTACATTCATAAAGTTACCTACCATAAGGGAACGGTCTAATCACTCTATGGATTAGTATTATGCCCGCAAACTCAGAACCCGCAAACTCGCAACCCGCATGCGAGGTCCAGTGTGGGGCGGCCTTAAGAAAGCGTTTTTTTTTTGTTGAGAGTGGATCCTTTATTTTCGTAAAAGGGACATTTACGTAAAACATGTGTTTCATAATCTATCTTGCTTTGTGAAGAAATGGAACCTGCTGTAAGATCGTAATTGAGCCTGTTCCCACAAACATCACCGGATGAGAAGATACAGCCGAAAAACAGAGCTTTCCTTCTAACAATGTCTCCTTTTAGAAGCCCTTTGCATTGTCGTGTCGTTATGCAATGTGGCTGCAACTGAATCCAATTAATAAATCAAAACGGTAACTGGAAGACGGAGCGAAATAACTCCCTGGCTAGATCCTGAATAAAATAGTCAGCAAATGTTCAGGCCATGGAAAAGGCATGCACGTGGTCTGCACTCTGCACACAGCACATGCAGGCTTGATTCAAGTATGCCACAATGAGAATTAGGAATTTAACACGAGGCAAAACGTATGTGAAATTTATAACTTGTTAGAGGAATTGGTTGCTTTGCTATTTTACCAAAGCCAAGACAGTAGAATTAGTCCCATAGTTGTACGACGCTAGCAAAACTACTTCGTAGCCGTCAAGGCGTAGCATCATTGTTATATAACGCTATACATTCCGGTTAGCTTCAAATGAGTTAAATTGCGGCATAGAAGAACTTTCTACAGCAAAAGGAACTAAGCCCTGAAGCAACATCAAATCAAGTGACACCACAACTGCAAGGAATCTCATCGGAGCTATCGTGCTTTTATATCCGGTTAGAAGCGATCGAAGCTGGATAGGGTATGGTATAAAAAGCATGCAAATACTGCATGAGATTATCGTCAGGTGGTCACACCACACAGTACATAGTGTTCCAGCTTATATAATGATGCATGCAATAAGTGGATGACTCACCTGCTACCAGCAGAGCCACCAGCCAAAGTTTTGCCACATGGCCTGTCGCCATGATGGGCTCAGTTGACCTCGGATGGTCTCGCGACCCTCAGACGACTTTTGGTCAGTAGAGACTGTTCTCCAGTTGATGACTAAGGTGAAGGTGAATAACCTAGATACGGCTATGGAGCCTTCAAATACCTGAGGGTGAGAGGCGAGAGCAAACGGGTAAGCTCACGTATCGTTAGCATACACACACCTAATTACACGGATTAAACACACGGGTACACGGATTAGACACGGTCAATCAATTGGTGAGTAATGGTCATCGTTTTCCCGTTGTTCTCGCTGGTGAATATAAATTATCCGCAACATAGAGTCACTATTATATTGTTGTTGAAAATGTGCAAAACATGTGTGATGCATCGAATCTTTGCATCGGATCATGGGAAACATGCATCGGATCTTTTCCTAGAACCACAGGAATCCAGATCGAAGCCAATGTCTGGACTCCCCACCCTCATATCTGATCGGGTCGGCGCCGGCCCTCAGCGCTGTCCCTAAATAATTAGTCACCCCGCTGACACGAGGACTCGATATACTGACAATAATGAGCCGTGGAGTCGATATTCACGCTCTGTTTATCGCGCATCAGTCAGAGGCGCTGGTGGTTAGTCGCTCGTGGAACATGTTTGCACAATGTGAGTCCAAAATCATCCCTATGTTTTGGTCAGTTGGTACTTATGTTTGGTCTGGTGTATGGTATGTCAGCTAGAAATATGTTCAAAACATTCATTAGTTCAGAAACTATCCACATTCCACAAAACACCCATTAAAAGTTTCAAAACATGCTTATTAAATTCGTAGTGCACGCAGTCGAGAAAAGTTTCAAGTAAGTCCAATTTAACTGAAATTTATTTCGGTGACCCTGTGAGGCTGTTATACAATCTTATGAGTAGGATCCTATGAGTAGGATTGTAGAAGGAGTAGAGGGACTGGGAGGGAGGATTTTTAACATCCTGTCCATGATCTTCAAAATGTCTGAACATTGAGCTGGAATAGGAATTAGTTTGTCTAAGCAAAGGTGCTATATTCAACGACATTTTACAACGGCTATGCTCGAAACGCACGTTGTAAGAAAGGTAAATCGAGTTATAAGGACGGTTTATCTTTTGTCTATCGTACATCAAACTTTCAAGGGCCCAGACATGGTAAACTGTGTAGACGTGTTGAAATGAAACATTCTGTCTTCGCAGCACGCAACCAGAATAAGAAGACTCACTCCACTTTTTTCAATCTGAATTATCCTTAACAAGGTCTGAAACGAGCAATTAGCATCACCCCGAATTTCCTTCACCGGCGTCTAGCCTGCCACCCAGCTGTTGATAAGCGCATTTACGCTATCGACCCGCATGCGAAGTGGCATCGCTGGCCCCCAGTCTGGGAATATATCGCCTCGGTAATTGGCCAGGTTCAGTGACCCGGGCAGCGATATTGACTGGGATGTGGGGTGGGGGTTGTAAACCCCTTCGATTGAAGGGGCTGCTGAGAATGGCACGATGTGAAATCCAGACTCACCCGCTATTTGCACGGGTTCAAATGGAAAACCTGCGGTGAATTACGTCGACGCAGAACGCTGAAATACGTTGTAAGGTATCGTGCGTTTAGATACTGTTGATTGGTAGCCTGATTGATTCATTGATTAACCATGCAATATATCACTTTCGACAAAACGTCTTTGTCACGCATAATGCTATACGCACAAATGTTAACTACAATGTCTTTCAAAATATCTTCATTGCGCGTGACGGTCTTTTTTTGGCCGGCATGTAAACACTATGGCGAATACAAGCATTAGGATAGTTTTAGTGCACATCGCTACAACACTGCATTCCGGCTGGCGTATACGTCATTCGGAAAATGCGCATACATCACCAGGCAATTCCTATGGGATGCTCGTTTGGCTACCGCGCACCTTAACGACTGTGTTTGTATTCGAAAGACCTATTGACCTATATCAGCTTCTGTGCATGAAAGGAACACAAAACAATTTTTATCGGGAAAAGAAACAATGCTTACAAGGTATCGAAAATTATTGACTTGAAACTAACATTCAAATTTATATTGATTTACTTGCCAAAGTTGCCTAAAATTAACTTGAAAATGTGCTTTGGATATTACGTAATACGTAATTGCATAATTGAACTTGACAAAAACAAGCTCTGTAAAAACTGAAACATAGTAGGAACGACGACGCACGCCATTGCGCGCCATATCATCCCAGCTCTTAGGAATGTGAAAACGTGCTCTTCCACCGTGTGATGACTGATGCCATGTCTCGCCACCATGTCCCCGTCTCGTGCCATGTCTCCGTTCCGTGTCGTGTCCCCGTGTCGTGTCAGGTCCCGTGTCGTGCCGTGAGGTGTCTGTCGGCCGTGACATCCGACGCGTCCCCCGATGCGACGGTGCCGACAGCGGCGAGGATGGCCCGACGAGCGGCCATCGACGCGTCGGTCCCGACTTTAATGGGTTCCTGTTAGTCGGGCCACCGTAGAGAAATGGGCTGGGACTGGAAGGCCGTGACACCGGGGGGGGGAGAGGGGGAAGTGGTCAAGGGAGGAGGCGAGGGGGTTTTAGGTGAAGGGAGGGGTGACGAGGTTGACAGAAAAGATAAGATGGAATGAAACAGGGAAACTCTGACAAATGCAGTGGACAAAAGCGGACAAAAAGGAAATGAGGATATGTTTCAGGGACCTAGGAGTGAAAGCGAAGGAAAGGAAAAAACGAGGAATAGCCGATGATGGAGGGAAGAGGTGCTGGGGGTGAAGAGAGAGAGAGAGGGGGGGGGTTAACCCGCGAGTTGCTGGGGGGGGGGGCGTTAAACGCCCCCACTTTTTTCGCCGGGCTATAGCATAAAAACGGCGCGCCGCAGGCGCGCCAAATTTTGGGTACCTGTAGGGAATTGATTGAAGTTTATTGTGACAAAGGTTAAAAAAAATCGGTCGGAAAATTATTGAGATATCGAGGTTTTAGTGACGTCATGATTTCTGACTTTCGACCAAAAACGGCATATGTTCAAAAAATCATATAAAATCACAGAATAGACATACAGACCTGCCGTAAACGCCATTAGACTTCCAATACCATGATCAATCAAATGGCTATTTTCGATTATTGATTATCGTTCCGCATTTTCCAAAATCTTGAACTGAATCTTGGCAATTTTTCGTGACTTCTTCACGACCATGATACATGAATTTCTTAAATTGAACTTTTTGAGCCAAACACGTACACATATGATAAAATGAATGTCACCATCGTGTTCTACGCCCCAAATTACCTATAAAACATATGTCACATGCTGCGAATATCAGTTTTGATTTTCGGGGATATGTGCCTACCCGGTTGACCTGACCTTGACCCTGACCTATGCTTGACTGATCCCTATATGAAGCTGACACTCTTGTAGGCCTTATAAGATGGATTGTGCACCATTTTGACAGAGTTTATGGCGAGAGGCGCCCATTGCGAAGTCCTGAAGTCCATGCTACTGAAAGCCCGATTTCAGGTGTTTGACCTGACCTTGACCCGACCTGTGACCTCAAAATTCAACTTTAAAGTACTCATCTGAAGCGTCTCGTCGCGCTCTTTCGTTTGCCGCCTCGTGCGTTTCGCTGCGCCTATTGGTTCTCGAGTTATCGGCTGGGGGCGTTTAACGCCCCCCCCCCCCCAGCAAACGGTGGGTGGCGAAATACCCCAGCAACTGCCGGGTTAAAACGAAAGATGGTATAGTGTGAAAAGAACAAGGGCGGTGCAAAAAGAACCATATAACTCCGATACTTGACCACCAGCTGGAGTAGGGCAAAAATGAGCAGCTGAAAGGAACCCATTGTCTTGACGCTGTCGGTGCGATGGTCCGCAATGTTTGGACTGCGCAATGGTTTTCGTGGCCCGGTCTGGATGATCAAAAGAGTGCAACTGACGATAATAAATGAAGAGGGTTTTCGGCGTAGGATGTGACATCAGAATTTGTCAGTATACGGTCTACCGAACAAGTGCCGTCACAATGAAAAATGTGCGCGGCCGATAGGCCATTGGCGCCCAGCGAAATAGATAGACTGTCATTTTGTCGTGTGCCAATAGCTGTTTCAATTGACAGGTTATATAACAGAACAGAAAAAGACAATTAGTTGAATGGAGATGTGTTCGTCGGAGCTCCTATATTTGCCATTGCTACAGCGTATTAGTTATATAACTCCAATGTATATTGATAGAGACAAGTAGAAAAACACGGAACAAATAGTGCATGGACGCGTTTCGATTATTAAATCTTCATCAGCATGACATAATCACAGAGAAAACAAGATATAGCACACAAACATTCGAGCTCGTCACAGTGCAATCGTCTTGATTTTAAAAAAATTCATGCATATGACATATTCGCTACTAATCCACCTGTAGGAGAATATCCACGAAAAATGATAGCAAAATAGATCACTGACATACATATGACACATGGATAACAACAAATTTGTACATAACGATCATGAACAAGTAGGTACTTAGGTATACAAACTAATGACGCGTCTTCTTTAAACTATACATCGCCGCTGGTTTTGCCCATTTCATCGAACCCACCCTAATATTAATCGTTTCGTTCATTGCTATAAATGCCGCCTCTGTCGCCTTCCGATTGTCTTTGTTTTTACATAATGCTATAATTTCCGCCCCGCCCCATCTTGGTAAATGATGTGTTTTCTGAGCATGAATTACTACCGCGCTATGTTCTGCGTTGTTTCGCATGTCCCGCTTATGTTCCTTTAATCTAACGTCTAAGCCCCTCCCGGTTTCCCCTATATATGATTTGTCACAAGAACCACAAGGAATCTCATACACTAAACTTTTTTCTTCTCCATTTCTTTTTGTGTGGTTTTTTAGTATATCCCCTACCTTTGTTCCCGAAGAGAAAGCGATTTTAAATCCAGTCATTTCAATCTGTTTCGCTATCATCTCGGCTGGTTTCGAATTGGGAAGTGTTATATATCGTTCGGTTTTCTTCGTCTTTGTTGTCGCGCTTCGCTTTCGAATATTGATAGCTTTTCTTTTCAAGTTGACTAGAAATCCTTTGGGGTACTTTA